CTAATTCTACCTTTCAAATAAATAAATCTTTGAAAAAAAAATTGTTAGTTTTATTAACAATAATGTCTAAACCTGTATATTCCAATGCACATGTGATGATTTAACTAATTAAAATAAAATTCAGTACCTCAGTTCCACTAGACAAGTTTCAAGTTTTAATAACCTCATGTGTTTAGTGGCTACCATCCTGGTGAGCACAGATATAAAAAAAGACATTTCAAATTACAGAAAGTTCTACTGATCAGTGCTGGCTGTCTGACTGTTAAAAACCTAGGATACATCTGGCAAGTTCCAATGAGATCCTAAGAAATTACATGCAGAGAATTAAAATACCAATTTCATTTCAGTTTAATAGTTTTAACTTTCAACTATAGCCAAGAATAGAAGATAATGTCCTTTATAAAAACAATCAAAGTATTAAAATCTTTGTTCAGCTGGATTCTAGGGTCATATTTGTTATCAACCAGTTCAGCTAAATATGCCAATCCCAGTCAGGCACAGTGGAGGAAGCTGGGGACTCAATGTCACTAAAAACTAACCATTAAACTAAAAGTCACTGAATGACCTATAAAACGCCTCTGTATACTAAAAACAAAAAAGTCAAAAACAATAAAAAGGCTGATGAAGATAATATGATCTCAAGGACACTTCATTTTCTTTGTCTTGATTCTACTGGAACCAGTGGGGGGTTGGGGGTGGGGTGAGAATCAATCCTTCAGATTTTCGTTATGAAAAGCCTTGGACTGATTACTAGTTTGACTCAGGGTAAATTAATGTCTTTTGGAATGATTTTCTACATTTAGAAACATTGATATATATAGTGTGGTCCCAAAACAACAACCATTACATGAGTGTAACATAAATGGCAAAACATTCAATGTAACAAGTTTATTCTCTTATTCCATGAGATACTTCATGCTGTCTGAGCAGTTTATATCATTGTTCTTCCAACTCATGTCTTAAGTTGGCATTCCTATTTTTAGGATTTGTACATTTATATATTTACTTGGAACAGGAAGAGAGGGCAAGAGAGCTCTCTCTCATCTGTTGGTTTATTCCCCAAATGCCCATAATGACCAGGGCTTGGCTGGATCACAGCTAGAAGCAGGAACTCAACCCAAATCTCCCACACAGGTGACAACAACCCAGCTACTTGAGTCACCTGACACCTCCCAAACACACATGAACAGGAATGTAATCAGCAACGGTGTTGGGACTTGAACTCAGTAACTAAAATACGGGATGTGGGCATCTCAATCTGCAGCCTTAAGTACTAAGCCAAAATGCTCATCTTATTTTACTTGTATTTTGAGGTATCTATTTATCACTATTAGTAACCCTTATATTTCTCTGCAAGTAAATCAATACTTTCTACTCTTACACCTATCTATTTTTCCCTCTTCATATGGGCAGATTCTTACTAGAAACTTTAGTGAAGTTGCCCAGAGATACCTAAACACATTAAGACATTATTTATCACCACAATAAAGGTAAGATTTGGTTTATTTCAAATAATGAATTGGCAGGCCAGTACAATGGGTTGAGCCACAGCTTGAGACATCCACAGACCATATGAATGTGCTGGTTTGAATGAGACTGCACCAATTCTGATTCAGCTTCCTGAAATTGTGCCTGGAAAAGCCAGATAGAGTTGCTGGCTCCTGGCTTCTGCCTGGCCTAGCACTTTCTGTTGTGACCATTTGGTAAGTGAACCAGCAAATGGAAGATCTCTTTCTGTATCACTCCAATTTTCAAATAAATCTTTAAAAAAAAAAAAAAACACCATAAAACTAGTTGGGATAGCTGTTAGGCCTAGTGGTTAGGACATCATGTTCCACACTGAAGTACCTGGTTAAATACACTGGCCCCCAAATCCAGCTTCCTGACCATGGGAGTCAGCGGTAAGGGCTCAAGGACTAGGACTCCTGCCATCCCTGCGGGAGACCTGGATTGAATTCCTAGCTCCCTCTTTTGGCCTGGCCTACCCACAGCTATTGTAAGCTGTGCAATAGGGAGTGAAGCAGTGAATGGGAGCTCTGCTTTCAGTCTCAAATAAATAAATGAGTTGCTCAGTTGCAACTTCCATACTTCTGTTACATGGATAATTAAGAACACAATAGGAGCCAGCACTGTGGCACAGAAGGGCGGTTAAGCTTCTGCCTACAGTGTTGGCATCCCATATGGGCGCTGGTTCCAGGCCCAGCTGCTCCACTTCCAACCCAGCTCCCTGCTAACCTAGGAAAGCAGCAGATGGCCCAAGTGCTTAGGACACTACATCTGCATGGGAGATGTAGGAAAAAACTCCTGGCTCCTGGTCTCAGCCTGGCCTACTCCCAGCTGTTATGGCCATTTGGGGAGTGAATCAGCAGATGGAAGATCACTCTCTCTCCCCTTCCCTATGTGTCTTTGCCTTTCAAATAAATCTTTTGAAAAAAAAAAAAAAAAAAAACCTACACAATAAATGTTCCTCAGCACTGATTAACTGTGACTATTTGTTTGAATACCTCCGTAAAAGAACTCAATATCCAATTTCTAAACCCGTAGTTCTAAAATGTTTTGACCTCAGGACCATTTATTACTTTAAAAATTAGAAGACCAGTTTTTGAGTATGAGATTCTTAAATGTTTACTAATTCATGTTAGCATAAATAACATTGTTTCCTGAAAACAATTGTTATTTTCCTATTAAGACTGTGAGAAATGACTTCAAGGAAAATAGCTGAATTATTGCATCTGCCTGTTTTAATTGCAGTCCATGAAGAAAATCTGGTTTTTCAGCATTAAAAAGTTGGAAAGAATATTTTAAGTGATGATCTTTTTTTTAAGATTTCTTTTTATTTATTTGAAAGGCAGAGTTATATAGAGAAAGGGAGAGACACAGAGATCTTCCCTCCTCTGCTTTACTTCCTAAATGGCTTCAATGACCAGTACTAGGCCAGGCCAAAGCCAGGAGCCAGGAGCTCCATCCAGGTCTTCCACATGAGTAGCAGGGGCCCAAGTACTTGGGTCATCTTCTGCTGATTTCCAAAGTACATCAGCAGGGAGCCGAACAGGAAATGAAGCAGCTGGGACTGGAACTGGTGCTCATACGGGATGCCGGTGTCACAGGTTGGGGCTTAACTCACTGCACCACAATGCCAGCCCTACCACTAATGATTTCTCAAAATTCTGAAACCATATATCAATAAACTTTTCATACAGTTAGATAAAAATCCTTTGATTTATCTTGCACTTTCAATGCATTTTCCCACACAATGCTCAGATCATTTGGAAAACAGCACAGTTCAGTGACTTATGTGGGTCTTTAGAATGTTAACAAATTTTTTATAGAATATCAAACCACTCTAACTTAATATGAACCCTGGGTATACACCTTTGTAATATTCAATTCATTGGAACAGGAAGCGTGCATAAAGCACTTCTATACATATCATCAGTTATCTCAAGGAAAAGTACTTACGCATTTGAGTTGTAAGCTGAGCTGGTCATTTTCTTACAGAACACAACTTTTACTTGAAAATATGGCAAATCAATTTTTAGACTTGGACATAAAACCAACTTTGTTAAACCTGTGAAAGAGCCTCTGGGGAGAAGCCAGGAGTCCACAGACAGTATTCTAATCAATAGGGCAAAAATATTCCCTGATTTCTTGGGTCATTATAATATCAGGAAAACACAAGTGCTAATAAAAAATTAAGTATTTCTGCTTAAATCCAAGTGACAGAAAACCAGCTCCCAATATAAAATATATTATGAACCCATTTGACCACATAAAGGATCTGACTCTAAAAACCTAGAACCATTTTTTTCAACCATTTACTCAATTTCTACAACTTAAATGCTAGACTACGGGAACATTAAGATCATTAAAAACAAGCAAGCAAACAAACGAAAAAACACCTGTTACAGGCAAGTCAAGTAATTCAGAACATAAAATACAGGATGTTAACTATTCAATACTAATAGCTGATATTACTGCCAGGTATTGTGCTAAGTATTTTATATGGGTATTCTATTAATCCCCAAAACAACCCTGTAAAATAAATGCTACCAATTCTTACATACAAGAAAACAAAATAAAAATAGCTTGTTAGGGTGAGTATTTCATGCAGTGGTTAAGATACCACTTGGAACACCTGCATCCCATAGGGCAGTGCCTGGCTGAAGTACCTGTCCAGCTTCCTACTACTGTATGCGCTAGAAGACAAATGATAGCTCAAGTTCCAAGGTCCCTGCCACTCACATGGAAGACCAAAATTGAGTTCCAGGCTCCTGACTTAAGTCTGGCTGTTATGACTATTTGGGGAGTGAACCAGCTGATCAAAGAAATCTTTCCCTGTTCCTATCTCTCTGCCATTCAAATACAAAAAAAAATAAGTAAGTATAAGCTAAAAAAAAAAAAAAAAAAAAGAATAAAAGTACCTTGCCTAAGATCAATGGAAGAATGGATGCAGACCCAGGGTTTTAAATCCGCACCCTTTATTTTTATCTTAATGCTTCCTCCAACAAAGTCAACAGTTGGGTGGCACGGTGTTGTGATGGTGTCATTGTGGCACAGCAGATAAAGCCACCGCCTAGGACACTGTTATCCCAAATGGACACTAGTTCAAGACCTGGGACACCATCATCCCACATGGACACTGGTTCCAGTCCTGGCTGCTCCACTTCCGATCCAGCTCCCTTCTAATAATGAGAAAGCAGCAAATGGTCCAAGTACTTGGGCCCCTGCACTCTTGTGGGAGATCTGGAAGAAGCTCCTGGCTCCTGGCCTCAGCCTGGCCCAGCCCTCGCCATTGAAGTCCTTTGGGGAGTGAACCAGCAATGGAAGGTCCCTCCTCTCCTTCCTCACCCCACCATAACTCTGCCTTTCAAATAAATTAATCTTGGGGGGAAAAAAAGTAAACCGTTTCTTTATCCTATGGAAAAATTACAGATTCATTTTTGGCTAAAGAGAATGTTTTGGAAGGGGAAAAGTATGAATATTAAGAGAGGCAAACTCACAGTTTTTAGTTCCATCAGGACTTGTTCATCTACTCCATCATCCAGAAAGATGTCTCTCACATCATTAATAACATCTTCAATAACAGATCTATATAATTTAGGCTTTAAAGGAAAAACAAAAGAAGACTTAAAGACTGCTGTGTTTTAGACAAATTCAAAACAAATTATGAAAAAGTAGTCATTTTGCCAAGAACTTATTTCAGAGTATGAGACTTGAAAGACATGGTCATCCTAATAAACATTTGCTCTTAACTGGATGACTGCATATTTTAAGTTTTAAGACTATATTTCAATTCATAAACAGAAGGTTCCTATATAGGTCTAAATAATTTCTAGTTATAATTTCCCATGTTGCAGTCAAAATTCCTAACTTTATGCTTAATAATAGCTTTATGATTGCTTTAAGAGAGGTTCCTATTATTCCATATTTGGGTTTCAGCCCTGTTACATCTCACAACCTTGCCACTAAGTCTTAGAGGACCTATATACTGACTTGCCTAGTAATAAGATGCAACTTAACATATTCAAGTTTAAAAATCACTTAAACTTCTGTTTTTGTGACCTAGTCTGTACCTCCAAGCCATACTACTGAACTACTCATATACCCACAATCATAGGTCTCAAGATCTCAGAGGAACAAGGCACAGGGATCTCTTTCCTATTTTCTCTCTTTCTGCTACTGCTCAGGCCATGCTATGGAACAGAATCATGAACATCTTGGATGTTCTTCCTAGTAATTATTATTGTTATTGGTATTATTTGGGGTAGTGGCAGGCAGTGAAGGAGCTAGATTCTCAAAGGTTGCTAAAATAAAACAAATAGAATGAGAAAGCGCTTTCAAACACATCAAAGTTAATTTTTAAAAAACAAAAGGTGGGAGAACAATTACCATAGTACATATATTTTTTATCTGTTAGACAAAAGGAAGTTTCCAGGTCAGATAATAAGAGCTACCCCACTATAAATCCTATCCATCATCACATACGTTAAGGTAAACAGTTTTTTAAAAATGCTTTATAATTACTCCTGTTTTACATCCTGCTTAAGGTAAAAGCTATTGGCTAATAAAAACAACGGCTTGCTGGCAAAAGCAAACCTCAAAAAGAAATGTTTCATTAATTTCTCTACCAGTAACACTGTTATCACAGAGGAACCTCTAAGAAAATGTGTCATTGGCCTAGCCAAAAATAATGAGTTTGCCAGTAAAACTTTCCTAAATGATTAGAAACTATCCATTCCTTTTCATGACAACCAGAAAAACAACCCAAATATCCAGACTGTTGCCTTTACTGTTCAACTCACTAACTTGCTTTTTTGATTTTGCCAAATCCACCTATGTGAACTTGATATTATCTGTTAAAAGAGCATCTCTACAATGCTTCCTCCCTTCAACATTCGGAGTCTATATATAAGCAAACTATACCTGACTATGGGTATCATCTTGCTTACAACAATTTAACTACTGAGTTATAGAAATATATCTATAAAATGTACTTTACCAATGACTCCACAAGGCATTATAAATAGGCAACATAATTTTAAGTAGGTGGTTTAAATCTCAATTTGATGATACACATTATTTTTTCAGCAAACCGGATGTTTCTAAAGTCAGTTACCCTAAAACTCTTGGAGACCCAAATGTCTACAGGAAAAAATCTGTTTTCTTCTGGTACTCCTCCCTGTTGAACAAATCAAACATGCCTTTGAGATGTTCTTTTTGTGCCTTAAATGAACCAACACTTGGCCACCTAATGTATTCATAATCACTATAGTGGAGGCATGAAGGGAATATGTATTCCTTATGAGGTCTATGCTTAAAGAGGAAAATTGCTTACAATTTGAAAAGCCCTCAAAATACTGATGTCATTAAAGGTTCTTGGGAATTTGAAATCAGTGATTTTCAAATTTTTAAAAAATTATCCTTTACTTGAGCGAAGTTTTTTGCTAAATGAAAAGTAATTTATATTTGTCCTGATTTTTAAAGACAATTCCAGGCTCAAAATGTGGCAAATTAGAAGGTCATTAGTGGCCCAGTCAAGTGATCAACTCGAAGGTTTCTTTCAAAAGTATCAGTACTGCTGCAATCCTGGCATATTAATTGGAATCATTTTTATATTGGATACCAAATTAATATCCAGGGCAATAAACCAACACCTACTTAGAACTTTAATATTTTAAAAGCCAGTTTGCAGTAGGTCTCCTCATTCTTGTAACTCACAATTGTCCTACACAGTAATGTATGTGGATAAACTGAGGCTTTAGGAACTTAGCTGTTTCTTTGAGAAGCGTCATATCCTCATTAGAGTAAAACATGAAACACTGCTAACATTTCCTGAATACCTGATGAACAACATGCTACCATAACCAAGTTCTAGTCCAACAACAAAATCATTTAAAAAATTCCCTACAATAACACGCACACCTTTCAATACACAAAAATCGACTAAACCATCCGTGTTTTAAAATATCAAAAATGTTAACATAAAAAAAGGACTCCAATAAGAGAGCGCATTTCCCCAAACAAAGGAAGCAAATCCTAGCTACCGCATCCAAACAAAAAACTGGGGCTCTGAAAGCAGCCCTCGTCCGCTGGGAAATTACAGCCTCAGAAAAGGACCTAGAAATAAATTGAGCTCCGCACGCGCCTGCCTCTCGCCTCGGGAGCACGCACCTCCCAGCCCCGCTCAGCAGCTCTCACTATTTAAAGCCGGATCTGGTGTTTAAATGGAGAGGCGGTGACGTAGGCCTGAAAAGCACCTTCCCATCCTGGCAGAGTCTATATTAGAGAGCGGCAATGGCTCTATATAAACAGGGCAGCCAAAGGGAGGAGGACCACAAGGCTCAGGGACTGAAAAGCAGGGTAAGCGGCCGCAGCCATGATGGATCGACCCGAGTCGCCAACGGTACGGTGTCGGGCGGCCGCGGGTTTGTCCGCGGCATTCGGGACCGGGCAAAAACGTGTTTTATTGTCGTAGTAAAAAGAAGAGTTGGGTGGGCTAGTGATCACACTGCGTTGGTGACTGAAAAGGTTATTTATGTGACTGCTTTTTGCAAACCTACGTGATCGCAAGGAACCAAAAAGGGACTCACGGGAAGAAGTAGGCAAATTTCAAGGCGCAAGCGGGGCACTTTGACCACTGGAGGCTTTTTGGGGTTTGTTCTGGTGCTTTTGCTAGTTGAAGATACGACGGGGGTTTTGCTTCCCCTTCGCCATTTTACCCATTCGGAAGGAACTGAGATAAGTGCTTTTCAACCTTCGTCTGTTTTTTTTTTTTTTTTTTTAACATAAAATGGCCCCATTGAAGGTCCCCAAAGCACAACCGCCAGGAAAAAAACAAAAAACAAAAAAACCCAAAGTAATCCTCCAAGTAACCCTAAGCCTTCCACTGCGTTCAAGTGGATCCCGGCGGGTCCCGGGAGCTGGCCCAATTCCCCAGCCGCGGATCTGATTCCGAGGCCGCTTGGGGAGCCTGGTCGAGCCGGCGCCGACGGGCCCCCTTCGCGGGAAGCGGCGGCTCGCCGCCCGCCCGCCCGCCCGCAGGCCGGGGCCGGGGGCCGGGGCCGCGCGCCAGCCCGGGCCCAACGGCCTCCGCGGCCCGGACCTCCCCAGGCCCCGCCGGCGCCCCCGCCCGCCCCGCCGCCGCCGCCGCCGCCGCGAGCCCTCGGCGCCCCCCCCGCGCCCGCCGCCCCGGCCCGGGCCGCCCGAGGCGGGAAGCGGCGGCGGCGGCGACCGCGCGGGCGGCTCCAGCGCCGAGGCCGGGATCGCCGCCGTCCCCGCCCCCGCCCGGTCCGGCCGTTGCTGCCGCCTGAACGAAGCCCCCTCCGGCCACCGAACCACGTCCTTACCACGGTGTTTGTATTTGCCGAGTTCGCCATTTCCACACACAACACAAACAACACGGGGGTAACCCCGGGAAAACACGGTCAAAACAAAACCAAAAAGAAAAAAAAAAAAGAAAAGAAAAACCACCCGGAGGGCGACCCAAGTCACCACAGATTGGGGCAAAAAATGGAAACAAAATCGATTCTGAGGGAGAGGGGGAAGCGGTGAGAGGAGAAGGAAGGGGACACTCTCTCCTCCCGAAGCTAAAAACCTCGAGAAATGCCTTAAAAAAAAAAAACACGCCAAGACCCTTCGGGGGTCCGGGGGGCGTTGCCCACTCCCCACCCCGTGCCAAGGAGGGAAACCACCGGTCACCGCTCCCCGCGCCGCCGCTGCCGCCACCGGCTGCAGCTCCAGCCGTCCGGTCCGCTCGCTTCTCCCCTTTATATAGCGAGCCAACAAGCTGCGCGAGCCGCCGCCGCCGCCGCCGCCGCCGAGAGACAGGGCGGAGGGGGAGGGAGGGGCGGAAAGGGCGGGGGCAGAGGTGGGCGGGGCGGAGCGCGAGACACCGCGAGAAGCCGCGTGCGCAGGCGCGCCGGGGCGGAGGCCGCCTCGCGCCGCGTCGCTACGCGCGAAGGAGGGCGCTGGGCGGGCGGAGCCCGGAGACTGGAGTAGTGGAGTTGGCCCGCCGGCTCCCCAAGTCTCGCGTGATCACGTGGTTGGCAACCAGGCGGAAGTCTCCTGCAGCCCTCTGCGACCGGGAGCTTGCAAGGCATTGCTGGGAAAGGTGCGCGAGTTCTAGTGACACCCGAGGGCTCAGCTAGCTGGGAACGCCTCCTGTCAGACGTCTGCGCGCCGAGCGGCGCTGCGGGAGCTGGGGTATGGGAAAGGGGCGGTGGCCGCCGCCGCGCTCGGCGCGGCCGAGGAGGAGCGCGGGTCACGTGGAGCGGCTTCCGGGCCCCTGGCGCGCCTGGCTCGGGACAGGGTGTGAAGTGCGGAGTCATCTTGTGGCCCCGGGGCTGCGCGCGTCTGAGTGGGCCTCTTCTCGCAGGGCTGAGTCTGTTTCAAAAGCGGGTGGGAGTCTATTTGGGTCCTCGGTCTGCACGGTCCAGAATTAGCAACCTCCGAAGCCGGCGCAGCTGTTTGTCCCCACGCTGAGTCTGGGTATCAAGGATTTGGGGGCGAAGTGTCCCCAAACTTTCGGCCCCCGCTAGCCCGCGTGGTTTTAATGACTTCGCAGCCTGATGGAAATGACAAAGCGCGAAACTCCAGCCGCTGGACTATGGAAGAGCGATGACTTTGCCTGGCGTTTTAAAAATGTTGCCAACATGCCATGACTCCACGTGGCTAGCCTGGAGTGACTAATCACACGTGAAGTACGAGCCTTTGACCCACCAGTTAACACGGCCTCTCCCTGCGAGAGAGCTGGGAGCATGTGTCCGTGTCGTGGAGGGCATTCGATAGGCGTTTGACCTGCTTCACCCAAGCAAAGCCAGCTTTGATGTCAACATCTCACGCGGAACAGAGTGCGCTGTCCCGAAGGCAGAACCCTCAGTACCTCATTTTCTCTAGCCCGGGAATTTTGAGTGAGGGGGTTTATCTTCAAAAGGCAAAGCAAAACAGAATATCAGAAGAGTTGTGTGGGTGAAACCAGGTTTGAAGACTTATCAAAGGCATGCTACCAGGGGGGGGAAGATGCACCTTGCCAGGCTCCGGGAAAGGATTAGAAAAGCAAGAGGCCGTTAATAGAAAATGGGAGATGGCAAATAGGAATGTGAATGGGTGAGGGCGTACAGTGTATTTAGCTCTATGGTTTAGCTCCTAACTCCAATCTGCCCTTCACAGTTTGTTGCTTAGTAGTTCGCTGCACAGCTCCTGGTCGGAAGTGCTTAAAGAAAAAATTAATCACAGGACATCTGTGTTCCTAGTAGCTTATGTGAAACTGATTCTATCAACATTTTTTGTGTAGTTAAGATTCAGGTGGCAATTAGCCTGAAAATGTACCCAAATAACATCACTCTTAGTAGTTCTCCCTGCAAAGTGTTTTAAGAGGACTTTTTGTTTCCTCCTTGGAGGTACTCCCAATTTCATTGAGATCCCTCACCTTCCGCCTAGTTTTCTATCCTATCACCTGATACACTTGACTAAGTGGTCAGGTATTTTGTTATCAATTTAGGTTGAGACCACTGCAGATGGACAAGGAAGTAGACCTATGAAATTTGTGCTCTGCACAACGATTCTGCTCTAAGGCAATGAGATGTATGTGCCAGTGGGTCTGATTTGTGAAATACTGGAATCCCCTCACTGGATTAAAAATGTCCTTATGACTTTCACACTCCCTAGAGGGTCTGAGTTGACCTCTCTTTATGCCTTCTAAATGGCTGCGATACCTAAGCACTTTACTAATACCCAAGTCTCTTCCTTTCTCTGATTCATGTGCTTGACATCTAAGAAACCCTCAAGGATTCCATTCTAACTAACTGGTTTTCCAATCTTTCATTTAGCTTTTTTTTTTTTTTTTTTGGATAGGCAGAGAGGACAGTGAGAGAGAGAGAAAGGTCTTCTGTTTCCATTGGTTCACCCCCCAATGGCTGCTGCAGCTGGCGTACTGCAGCCAGTGCACCTCGCTAATCCGAAGCCAGGAGCCAGGTGCTTCTCCTGGTCTCCCATGCGGGTGCAGGGCCCAGGCACTTGGGCCATCCTCCACTGCCTTCCCAGGCCACAGCAGAGAGCTGGCCTGGAAGAGGGGCAACTGGGACAGAATCTGGCGCCCCGACCAGGACTAGAACCCCGTGTGCCGGCTCCGCAGGCGGAGGATTAGCCTAGTGAGCCACGTCGCTGGCCTCATTTAGCTTTAATATATCTTCAGTCACTAAGTATGCTAGCTAGTTTAGCTCTGGAACGATACTTTCTGATCTTGCACTAAAAGTGCTGGCCTGAGTTTTTGGAAGCTCTAGCCATTTAAGCTATAAAATGGAAAATTTATAAGCAGAAAACTCTTTAGTGTTGTATTTAAATTGTTTTAATCAAAATTTTTATTCTAAGCCTTGAATAACATACTTTTAATAACTGTGCAAGATATTTAGCATCCAGTTAGTATGTGGATTCATACTGTCACAGCGATGTATAGTCAGAGGAGATACAGAACAGTGCTCTGTTCCTTGAATTTTTTTGAACTTCAAAATGCTTAATATTGGCTGATAAAATGTTACTTCTTTTAAGAGATATAAATATTTGCCTAAATATTGGGCAACTGCAAAAATGGAGAAAAAAATCAGTTTATTAAATTTTTATACACATGTGCCAGTGTGGTGGTGCAGAAAATTAAGCCTCTGCCTACAATGCAGGCATCCCATATGGGCTCCGGTTCAAGTCCCTGCTGCTGCTTTTCTTACTCAGCTCCCTGCTAATGACCTGGGAAAAGCAGCAGAAGATGGCCCAAGCGCTTAGGCCCCTGCCCCAATGTGGAAGCCGCAGATGAAGCTTCTGGCTCCTGGCTTTGGCCTGGCTCATCCCTGACTTTTGCTATCACTTGGGGAGTGAGCCAGTGTATGGAGGGTCTCATTCATTCTCTCTCTCTCTCTTCCCGTTTCCCCTTCTCCCTCTGTCACTCTGACTTTTAAGAAAACACTAAAGCTGTATATAAAAATTTGAAAATAAAATTCACTGCTTTAGCATCTGTGATGGACTTAGGTGCTTGTGTTCATTTATGATAAAATATTTTTTAAAAAGATGGGTATACTATTATTAAAAAAAGGAAATACAAAAGTTGTGTAATATATTTACCTTTAAGAAAAAGAAAAATGAACCATAATTTTTTTAAAAAAGTAAACTATAAGGACAGGGTAAGAAGGATATGGAGAGAACAAGAAAATAAATGAGTTAAATAAATTTTTTTATTTGTTTCTGGAAAGATAAATAGTTTACTTAGGTGTAAAAAATAACCTTTTATATTGGCTTTTGGACTATTTTTATTCAGTATTTCAGAAGTTTAGCTCACATTATTCTGTACTTTTTTGGAGGGTAGGATGAAAATGAATAATGTAGATGTAATTCGTGAGAATCAAAGCCTGTGTCTTTTTTCATTTATATTACATATACTCAACAAAATATTTGCGGCATTAATGTTTTTGTTGTTGTTGTTGTTGTTTTGACAGGCAGAGTGGATAGTGAGAGAGAGAGACAGAGAGAAAGGTCTTCCTTTACCGTTGGTTCACCCCTCAATGGCCACTGCAGCTGGTGCACCGCGCTGATCCGATGGCAGGAGCCAGGTGCTTATCCTGGTCTCCCATGGGGTGCAGGGCCCAAGCACTTGGGCCATCCTCCACTGCACTCCCGGGCCACAGCAGAGAGCTGGCCTGGAAGAGGGGCAACCGGGACAGAATCCAGAGCCCCGACCGGGACTAGAACCTGGTGTGCCAGAGCCCCAACGCGGAGGATTAGCCTACTGAGCCGCGGCACCAGCCGTGGCATTAATGTTAAAGGGAAAAAATAATTTTTAAAAAGAGACTTCCCGCGTGAGATACTCAGCAGACTCATAGAATGGCGGATGTCCTAAATAGCACTCTGGCCTCAGAATCAGCCCTAAAGGCACTCGGATCTGGCTGAAAAGCCCATGAGAGTATTTCAGGCATGGAAAGCCAAGACACTCTGGCAAAAAGATCTCTGTGAGTGAGATCCCAGTGGAAAGAACAGGTCTTCAAAGAGGGAGGTGCCTTTCTCTGAAGGGAGGAGAGAACCTCCACTTTGACTATGACCGTGTCTAAACAAGATAAGAGTCGGAGAACTCAGGGGGCTTCCATAGCCTTGGAAACTCATGACTGGTGCATAGGGAGATTACTGATGCCATAAACAGGAGTGTCAATTTGTAAAGTCAACAACAGGAGTCACTGTGCACTTACTCCTCATGTAGGATCTCTGTCCTTAATGTGCTGTACACTGAGGCTTAATGCTATAACGAGTACTCAAACAGTATATTTCACTTTGTGTTTCTATGGGGGTGCAAACGATTGAAATCTTTACTTAATGTACACTAAACTGATCTTCTGTAAAAAAAAAAAAAGAAAAGAAATTATCAATTCCCAACTTGACTCTCACTGGGATTAAACATGACAATAGGTCTGATCTGATTTCATCATCATTTAAAAAAAAATCATCTATTATTTTTCACTTTATGTTTCTGTGTGGGAACAAACTGTTGAAATCCTTACTTAAGGTATACTAAGCTGATCTTCTGTATATTAAGATAATCGAAAATGAATCTTGATGTGAATGGAAGGGGAGAGGGAGTGGGAAAGGGGAGGGTTGTGGGTGGGAGGGACGGTATGGGGGGGAAAGCCATTGTAACCCATGAGTCGTACTTTGGAAATTTATATTCATTTAATAAAAGATAAAAAAAAAAAAGAGAGAGACTTCCCGAATTCAATTGAAGCAGCTTACTCTAACCAGATATCCTGAAACACAAGGAAAGTGATTTCAAAAGGTCCTAATTTGGGGCACTTGGGTTTGC